GCTATAATGTGTGATTTGATAATTTCTTCATGTACGTACGAATGTAAGTGTATTGATTTATTCGTATTCTTGTAGAAAAATTAGATCCAGTTAAAATTTAAAGAGTTGTACCAGTTGCAAGCAAGTAATTTTTGATTACGGCTCCAATTTGTCCCAAATTTTTACAAAAATGTATGACATTTTACGTTCAGTTTTCTGTCTTAAAAAAGTCGCTAAAAACTCGGGAAAATATTTTTTTAAAAATATTTCTATAAGGTTATCAAGCAACCTTTAACAACTCTATATTCACCGATTTGAAATAAGTTAAAGATTTTCAATCAATCAAGTCATTGTCGAAGCAAAACAAATAAATTGTGAAGTTGCTGAAATTGCATAATTAGAGGAGTTTCAAATTTTTATCAAGTTTATGAAATATGAAATCTTTAAAATAGTAAAATGTCAAAAAACGAAATTAAAGTAAGAAGACGGCCAAATGTCGGAAATTTCAAACTGTTTAAAAATTTTAGAAATTTTGATATTAAGAAAATATACAAACTACAAAAACAAAAGAAATTGGATGATTCAGTTCAAATATTTGAGAATAGCAAATTAAAAAGCTCTTTTAATAATAATCACGAAAAATTAATAATCTTAATAAATCGCGTAATTAAAAATTAAAATTTCAACTCTAATCTTTTTGCAATTTTTGATTATTTAAATCCAATTCCAAAATTAATTTTTGATTATTTTTGAAAATTTAAATAAAGAAAATTTGAAATTTGGCTCGAGAAAGCAATATTTTAAAATTTAATGCAATTAGATTACATTAAGATCGTAAATTGAGAAAGAAATCAAAAAAAATTGAAAACTATTATTTCGAACACTTAATTTTTAAAATAAAATTTAAAAAGCACTTAAATTATTTTTCAAATGCATGAAAGATGTGTGAATAATAAAAGTAGACGTAAGTTCTTATTAGTAAAAGAAATTTTTATTTATTTAAAAAATATTCAAAATTGCGACATTCTAGTTTATAAACTTGTGCAGAAAAATTTTGTTATTTTAAACTCTCAATACATCTAATTCGAATTGATTCACGAACTCAAAGACAAGAAATTCGAAAAACTATTTGCCAATTCCTTTTTTTACATAAAAATTCGAAACGACTACACAAATTTAACGTAATTTTGATTTAAACCCAATATTTCATTAATATTTCATTAAAAAGCAAGAGTTTTATGTACGAACCCAAGTAATATTGTAAGTTTAAAAGTGCATAAATGAAAAATATTTTTTCGTTTTGGGAAGCGAGCCTTAATAATGAACTTTTATTGTTTATTTTTGTTCAAAATTTTAAACAAACCGAAGTCACTAATAGCAATGGTACGAACTTCAATTTTGATAATAAACCAAAATAATGAACCAAACAAAAAAGCCAAAATGAAAAATAGAAGAAGTTTTTCCTCCCGATTCATCCTTATATGACGGTAATCGCAAAATTTTTTAAACCTTTATTAATTTCTTATGTATAAGTAGAATGCATTTTTGTTAACTGCAACGCCATCACATATAATATATAAGAACGACCTGTGATGATAGTAGGCCAAAATTTTATTGAAAAACTTGTTTCCTTGTCATAATAAATTTCAATTTTAGCACATTTTCAACAAAATGTGGAAAAAATGTCCTTATTAGCATAATTTTGTCTGTCAGTGTGTTTTTTTTTTTCTTACGAAAATTCTACGCCCCTTAAGATAGAAAACTGAAATTTTATATGCCAATAAACATTTGTACATAAATAGTCAAACTATGTTTTTCGAGAAAAAGAAAAATTTTTAAACTTCTGATTTTTTTGAAAATTTATTATGTCGAAACTTTAAACATTTTTCCAATCCCACAAGCACAGAAAAACATCAACTTATTTTTCTTACTACCAAATGGCATAGGCAGACGCTACCATAACAAAATGAAGGTCGAAAATAATCAGTATTCTCAAACCCTCTTTTGCCTTTTTAAATTTATTTTTCTCAAAGATGAGAAGCTTCAAAAGTCTGAAATTCTTGTTGTCGTTGATAAATAATTTATATTTTTTTTTTTATCTTCTTCATTCGAGTCGATAAGTTTTATCAAATTGTTTATAAAAGCAAATAAGTATCAGTAACTGTCATCAGAAGGCGTGATTAAATTTGTTAAATAACCCAAATAACCGGATACATAATTTAATTACTTTCTTAGGACTTCTTTCAATTTTGTTATGACTCTAAAGGAATGCAATATTTATGGCATATTTATATGTTGTTAAGAAAACTGATTACAGAATTGGAAATGCACTACTTTACAAACCATTGGTTTGATTTTTTTAAATTTTTTTTAAATTAATTCATAAATATCTGTTATTTACCAAAAAAAATAGTATGTAAAATAAATAAAGTTGGGTCAAACCAATGGTTTGTATAGTAGCACTTTTCCCTTCAACATGTGAAAATACTGCTTTTAAGTACAGTCTATGTATACCTATCACACTATTAAAATTATTTTCATTCATTTTCAAAATTATTTCTAGGATTGCATATATTTAGGATGAACGATTTATGCAGTCTTTGGAATAAAGCAAAAATTAATATAAAGTGGGGTGAACATAATGCTCGATTTTAAGAGTTAATTGTGTGAGTTAAGAAAAATAATTATATTTTTTAATGTCATGGAATTTACCCATAGCTTTTTGTGTTTATAGAAATTTGAAAAAGCTTGCGGTTTCGGAAATATAAGGTGTCAAAAATTCAAATTTCAAGAGGCGATAACTTGAGAGGGGGTGGAGATGGAAAAAAATTTTCTTCTAACAAAATGAACTATTTGTTAATGTCTAAAAGCTCGTAATTTCAAGCTTCTACAGGCTGAGGTCTAGAAGAAAAACGAAATCAAAAATTTGGAAAAAAGGACTTTAGATACCGCGCTAAGGGAAGCAAGCTGCTGCCCTTCTGCGTTTGCAAAATTTCAAAAATGCTTATGGTTTCATTGCAACAAATAGTTAAAAAGGCCATTTTTAGGGTTTTGGGGGGGTATAACTTCTAGAGGAAGGGAGATAGGTAAAAATTTTGTTCTGCGGAAATAAGTTTCTAATAAAGATCTATGTACGTACAAAATTTCAGATTTTTATCTTCAAGGGTGCAGAAGTTTTGTAAACAGACACACGGACAGACGGACGGACGGACAGAGTAAAACTAATAAGTACTTTTTTTCAAAAATTTTTTTGAAAAGTGCTAAAAGGAAAATAGTTCGGATAACATTCAAAACCATACTGCTGTAACGATAATATTAACGAAAAAAAAAACAGTTCATTCAAAAGAAATTCTTGGACAGTGATTAATCGTAAATGACACCATACAGTATTAAAAATTCCATTACAATTTTACATTAACACATACGATAGTTAAAAGGTCATTTGAAAGTTTTAAGTCTTTCTGTTTTTATATTAAAATCAATATTTCGAAATTACGATTTAAAACCAAAACAGAATTTAAGCATATAAAATATTCGCACTTTTAAATTGAAATTTTAACGTAACAAAGGTTGGAATGTCAGATAAAGTACACATAAATAGTTCCATTTTGATATTAAAATTTATATTGATTCTCTTAAAACTGCAATAAGCATTGTAAGTGGTCTATTTTAACAAACAGTCAGAATTCAAGGCAATATAAATATGAAAATTGAAAATCTGCAATGAAAAAGAATTTGACACCGTATAACTTTTGTAATTAAAATCCTTACATTTACTGCCCAAACTATGCACTTATAATAAACGAGGTCAATGGAGTATTGCAGTGTTAATATTAAAAATATATTTTTTCACATTAATGAAAAAATTGAATTAAAAAATTTCATAAATAAAAGTAATACGACTTTATGACCAATTAATAAAAATATTTAATTGCATATATACTTGGGTATGCAAGGATTAATTGGATTGAATATATAAATTTGCTGTTAACTTCGCTGGATAATACGAAGGCCCTGTACAGGTGAAAAACAAAATAATGCTCGAATTACTTTAACACTTAAATTTGTACATGAGACCAATTTTAAACAGCTAGTAGTGTTTTTGACTCCAGATCTAAAGAGAGCTCACTCAGCGCTACAACTGTTAACTTAAATGTTTGTCCTACACTTTTACTTTAAAATATCTGGCGAAATTGCTGGTTTTATCAGTAAATCGCGTGTAAAATAATGCATAGATCTTTTGATAAATTGAAAAATTCACTTTTTAAAATTTATTTAATATGGAATTAGCTACTTTCTTTTTAGAATGTTGCTGCATTTTGCAAGAAATTTCATAGACAATATTAGGAGCATGAGAGGGACAAAAGCGTACATGCGTTTTTTCTTTTAGAATTGTGCCTCCGTAACTAAATATGTCCGTTTAAAATTTAAGCATTTTGACTTAAATGATTATGATTAAATTATTTTGTACGTTATATATGGCAGGTACTGCACAAACTAATACAAGCATAGTTAAATATCATCGTAATAGTGATCTTATTGCTCCGCTTGCAATACAAAAGTGCTTTAATGTTTCTATCAACTGCAGTCGTTCCTATTTGTGAAAATTTGTTTTGCATACCCTAATACTTTTTTTAATTATCCCTTGCATACGGCTATTATGCAGACATAAATGGTTAGATCGATTAAGGAACATATGTATACGCTAAGCAAAAGTAGGTAAATATACGCAATAAGTAGAAGTCAAAGATCCCAGATTTTTATTTCTTAGCCATACAAATGGAGTATTAAATTTATAATATTTGTACGGATACGGAAATAATGAAAATTAAATTTAAACTATTTTCATATTTTACTCCTGCTGCTTGAACTCTATATACATCCATATATTCCAAAAACCGTACTTTAAAAAAAGTTAATATTTACTCATAAAATCCTCAAGGAAACTTTTTCATTATCGCTAAATTAATATTTTGAAAATAAATAATTATTAATTTAAACAATATATAAATTTTGCTCACCTTCAGTAACATCAGCGCATCCTAATATTAAAATAAATATAGTTAATGTTATAATTAATCCTAAATATGGTGGTGGTGGTGGTGGAGATTGTATTGAAGATCGGTGGATTCTTTTCATTTTAACTATTTTTAAATTATTATTATTACAATTTTTATAATTTAAATTTTTAATTATAATATTCCAGTAAGTATAACGAAATTTTTTAATATTATTAAAAATTTTACTAATTAAAATATTATTATTAACAACAATTAGAATAACAAATAACTTTATTAATAAAATAACATTTAAAATAATTTTTTTCAAATTGAAATTTTCTTTTAAATTATTTTTATTAATTATTAAATTATTATCACTATTATTATTATTAATATTTTTAATATTATCTTTAATAATATTTTGTTTAATGTCATATTGACAATTTGAATTAATTAAATTATTATTATTGTTAATATTATTGATTTGTTTTTTTAACATTTCAATGCAAAATAATTTATCAATTGTATTTGATCTTCTTTTATATTTATAATTTGATTCGAAATTATTTTCCTGATAATCATAATCGTTATTTTCATTATTATCATTGATATTATGTTTATTACAATAATTATTAACTTTATTATTTTTATAATGTATTTTATGCAAACTTTCCAAATTTCGTTGTTCATTTTCATAACTGTTTTTAAAGCTTTTTCTCTTGATATCATTATGACTTTCATCATTATTATCATTCATAAATTCCTCAAAATGTTCAGTTCTTTTAATACCACAATGTTGATAACCACTTAAAGTTGCCAGTTTTTTAAAAATATTTAAATTTTTTGTTGTCGTTTGGAATTTATCATAAATTATCGGATTATTAGATGAATTTTCTATTTTATATGGTAACTCTTGACTTATCTTATAATTTAGAGTGTCCAGATAATTATATTCATTATTATTAGCTATTATTGATGACAATAATGTTTCTTTATCAACATTCAAATTCGATAATGGAATTTTTGTAGTAGAAATAATTACAGAAGCATTTTTATCCACTAATTTATCTGTTGTTTCTTTATTTGTTGGTTGTATTTTCCTTTCTGATAATACTTTGTTCAATAATACTAATTTATTTTTGACTTCAATTGGCTTTAATTGAAAATTATCACCATCGTATGAGTTTAATAATAATTTTATCTCCTGTTCATTTATAAAGATTTTCTTAGGAAATTTTAAAGTCGATATTTCTTGATAATTCTCTTGCTTTGATGTTTTAACATCTGAAGCAGATATTAATGATGGTAGTGTTGAAATTTTTATTTTGTTATCACCGTTTAATGTGGACATTTTCATTATTTTGCATTTCAAAATTAAACATGTTACCGCTATTAACGTATAAGATCGTCACTTATATTTTCTGTTGAAAAAAAATGTAAATTAAGAATAAAATTTATTGGACAGTTTTCACATTTCTATTCTAGTTGTAGCTGTTGTTTATATATAGCTGTTACATAGGTTATTTGAAACACGGAATTAATAGTTACCTGAAAATAGATAGAGTTGGAAAAGATTATAAACTATGGTATTATAACAGTTTTAATTAAGATTAAATACGAGTTGCTCGAAATTTATTAAATTTTATTCGTATTGAATAATTTTATTATTGAATTAAAAATTTATTATTACTTAAATAGTTTGTTATCGCATATTTAAATTTTATTATTACATTTTCATAAAAATTGCTAGAGCAAGCCGAAATTTTACAGTTTCTTGCTTACTGCTGAACAATATGCAAGATTGAGTTTAATTTAGTAAATAGTCAGGGTAAAATTCAAATATTTCTCTCATCTCAAATTTCTTTTTCAAACAGAGAGATTTTAAATGTTCCACTCTCTAATTCTATTTACGTAAAGTGCATGACTAAAATGCGAGTAATAAAATTACAAATTACATGAGTTTTGAAAAATTATAAATACTTCTTTAATTATGTATATGATAGTTTTTCCTGAATCCTTAATTTACAGTATAATTATGAGACAAATTCAAAAGATAAATGAAAGTCACCTGCTAAATTAGCTCTTGCTAAAAATTATGTTAGCAGTCCTAATGTTAAATACATAGGTATAATATTCATATTAGTAATATGCAAAATAACTCTCATTTTATAAAATCAATTTTTTTTCCCTTATGACATTTTGAATAACATTTTAATTAGTTCCGGTCTATACAAAGGAATGATAATAAAGTAAAGCAGAAAAAAAAAAACACATACTCCAAAAAAAATTTGCTCAATATTATGATTAAGAAAAACAGAAGTATTGTGAATCACAAAAATAGTTTGTTAAGTAGCATGTTATCTCTTTTAATCAATTTATGTATAGAATTAGTATTTTTACAGAATTTAGATCTGATTAATGAAGCGTTCTGTTTAGAAATAGTTCTTTTACTATGAATAAATTTAGGAAAAATCAGTGAAAATTTTCTAAAAAAATTTGTAAAAGTGCCATGTAACCCATCGTGGTTGAAATAATAAAGACAATAAAAATAGGGTTTTAAAAAATTTCTTAAGTAATAAGTCTATTTTCTCGATATAAGACCCAAGACTTAAGAATATATTGGAAATCACGAAAAATTTTGCAACAGACAGCTGAATAACTGATAAGTTATTTTGTTTTAATATTTTTTTTGAAAATATTCTAAAAAGCAATAAAACTATAAAAAAAATGTTTACTAACTTACTAATCATCAGTAACCACAATTAGTCACACTATAAAAAAATTTAAATATCTATTAATATTCTACACCAGTTTAGAACGAAAAATATCACTCCATATGTCCAAATTTGAACCAGACAAATTTATAAAATAATAAAAGAAAAAACAATTCAGAAAATTAAGAGGACCATAAAATAATTCCCAATTTAGTCATTCAAATTCTTACTTTTGTTAGTGGTTCTGCTTATTTTTTCTTGTTTTTTATTATTTTAATAAAATTCTCATTTATATAAATAAAAATATAAGAAGCAATTCTTAAAAATATTCAATTCTTCAATTTCCTTCCCAAAAAAAAGCACATTATTATATAAAAGTATAAAAGAATTTTAAATTCCAATATTATTTTTATAACAAATGAAATATCAAATATCACGAAACAAAATAACAAAAAAAATAAAAAATTTAAAATAAAAATGTCTTGGAAATAAAGTCGTCTGGACGGACTTGTATGGTTATTTATTGACATAATATAAAAGTAAATTATTACATTTCGTTGAGATTGTTAAGAAACAAAATCAAAAAGCAAAAATCAACACAAAAATTTTTAATTCAATGAAAATATCACAAAAGGAATTTTGCAACCAATGGTTATGGACTATAAGATACTATCATATTTTTAATCAGCGATTTTTTTGACTCCAAATATACTTCAATACATTACACATGTACATACATACATATGTATTATATTTGCAGTGAGACCGAATTAAGCAAAAATTAAAATAAAATAAAAAAAAAATTGGTATCGAATTCAGATTTCAACAATTTGTCAATTTTAATTTTATTTGATTTTTACTGAATTTTAATTATTACTTCCATTTTAACCCAAAGAAAAAGTAAAACAAAAAAAAATGCTTACAAGTTTATAAACAAAAATCGTATAATGTTGCTAGACATGGTGGTTTACTTTTAACTAAAACCAATATGTATGTAAGTGTAGTGTGCGAAATGCAAATTTTCGAGTAAAAAAAGAGAAAATATTGGCCGTATTTAGTTCATTTACACTTGCTTACATAAGAATGTGCGTGTAACTATATGCAACTGTGGAGTTTTACTCACGTAATAAATTTTTAAAGTATTTTTTTTTTATACACCATCGGGTGATATTCTTTACTTTACCGAAATTATTTCGCAAATATTGATGATCAAATTGGTAGAAATTGTATTAGAGAAATGTACAATAACAAAAATGACAATGATGATGTAATAATAAAAATGATAAACTCAAAATTGGGACATAATTTCTCTCCATTTCGTTCCATTTCAATTTCATTTCATCCTATTTTCGCTGACATTGTAGAGTAACGATATCCAGGCAAGGCTACCAGAGATCTAAATTAACTTTCCAAAAAAAAATAATTTATTTATCCATTAGTACTTAAATGATAGCCAAAAATAATTGCACAATACTTCATTCAATATTTTCATATACGAGTAATATTGTATGTTTTCATGAGTCGTATTGCATATACGACAAGGATGATACCACGGTTGCATTAAATTATAAATGTTAGTCGATTGTTTATTTCTGCCAATATTTAAGGCAATGTAATCAATGAAGTTCATATTCGAGTTCTTTTCATTGAATTTCAATTAAATAAACTAATTTTCTCGTCAAAATCAAATTTCTAGAAATTGAACCTTCCTTAATTGAATGCAATCATATACAATTCCTTTCTGCAAATATTCTTATCCATATAAACTAATCATATAATTGGTTACTAGGGAAACTATGTCATTGAAGATTTTTTGTTATTTTTAATAGACCTCTCGTGAATAATATTTGTGTCTCAGGTTTTCATATTACAGGTGAATCATGTTAATGGTTTAGAATTGATTTGGAGGCTATATGGTTATGGTTTGGAATCGTTTATTTGATTCTTGTTTTAGTTCATCTTTAGTAACATCATTATTCTGTGATCTAATGATGAACTAAGCTAGAGTTCTAAAACTAAAACTTTTTGTAATGTTCAAAAATTTTTACTTCATTTTAACACTCGTATACAATGTTTTATAATATTTACTCGTAACCCTATTAATATATAAATTTTGGAAGGTCATCGTAATAAGTGCTAATATTTTCTTTTCATAATTGCATAATTTTTTGCATTATTTAATATGTTAAGACAAGGAATTTTTCTTTGGAACGCTTCATTTATGAAATCATCAAATCACTTACAAATTAGGGTATATGCCCCAATAATTTTGTTTTTTTCTCTCTTCATTTCATGTCACTTTTCTATGTTTAGAATGTTGATCATAGCCCACAATATAGTTACTTATAACATATTTTATAAAAATACTGAATGTATTTACATCTATATATAAGCACACGTGCATATATGTACATAGGTATATACTCAAAAATTCCACAATGGCGCCTGACCACATTGATATTGTGGGTGTGTTTATGATCTCAAAAAAAATAAGTTTAAAATAAATATTTATAATTAAATTCAAATAAATTTATAAAGAAAAAAATATTTTGATAGTTTTTTATGGAAGATATCAATGAATTTATAAAGATCAAAATAAATTATATTAAATTAAATATTTAAATAACAAAATAAAAAAACAATCTGATGTGATCAGCACATAACCGGCCGCATTGTGTATTGTCTAGTTTAGTGAGTTCTTTTAAATACTTCTTTTAAAGTCAAAAATTTCTTCTTCCCTTACTAACTTCTTCTCTTTAAGGACACCAGATAGCTTTTAGTTAACACGCCTAGAAAAATGTTTTTAATAGAGTTTAACTCTGTGCCATCCGAACACTCTGAAAAATTTATCGGTGACTTACTGTTGCAAACTGAACTCAAATATTAAATTTCAACAAAGTCTGAACCTATAAAATTTTTAAAAACTGAATTTTCTAAAAATTTTATAGGTTCATTGTTTTAACACCTGGAACTCACATATTAAATTTCAATGTAATCGTTTGATTATTCCTCCTCGCATGCGCAAAAATGTACATTTGGTTCGTAGCAAACGCCCGATTGCTGACACCTTTCAAAAGTCAAGTTATCTCTCCTATACTGTTGATAGAAACTTATATATAAAATTTCAGGGTAATCTGTTGAATACTTTCTTCAAAAGTATCAAACATGTTAAACCGGCTCGTAAAAAGATTCAGTTCCTGACATATCTCAAGGTTAATCAATCTTGCCATAGTTTAAAATAAACTTACTACCATAAACAAGCCGACAGAGCAAGAATTAAGTTCCAAAAATATTTTATTTACGCTTCTGTACAATAAAGAAGTGTGTTTCCACTGAAAACTTAGTATAAAAAATTTGATCTGATCACATAACCTTCCTTATCGTAGACAATGTGGTCGATATTAGGCATATTTCGTTGTATATGAATAAAAATTTATTTAAATTTGTATAAGTTTATACATATGTATGTACATACTATTCTTTATGTGTATATAATCAACATATAGACATGTATGTATGTATGCATAAATATTTCTATGAATCATAAGACAATAAATTAATGTCAAATTAATTTTAGGAAAATGCCTCTTAAATTTTAAATATAAATCTACGCAAAATTTAATAAATATTTCTTTTAATTTACTAATATTTAGAAATTATTTTTGATGACAGAACATTTAGAAAAAACATTAAATTTAGTAAACAAAATTTTAACGACAGTTTCCACAAAGGTCATTAATTCAGTCACCTTATTTTTTATATTTTATTTATGTAAAACTCATGTGCACACATGTACCAAATGTGTATTTTGTAGAAAATATTGTATTTTGTATT